AAGCTAAATCCTTCATAAGCTAATGCAACACAACCCATCTAATTCCTCAAACGATTTGCAAATCTCGCATTCACCCTTGTAACAGTCAAGCCCACTCTTATAAGCGATCCAAACTCAAATTGCAACACGTATATTTCACTGGTAAGAGAGGACTGCCAACCAACAACATAAGGATCACACAAACTTCAGAACATCCCGCAGGAGATAATCCACTTGCTTAGCCTCAAACTGGTATCTCTCTATACTCTTCCATAATCATAACTCTTACAAAATCACTTAACCCCCCTCTGAGTCTGAACTCATAACACCACATGAAGATTTACTCCGCTCCATTACTAAACTACACGAGAGGTCCTTCAACACACCCATAGCTCGAGGCCATATGCCAACTTAAGACAGAAGTAAAACACCTAATAATCCTTGTTACGTCCTCAGCAAACTCTTCCTGTCACATTTGAACATATCTCGCTATCAAATCATACTCACCCCTAGTCATCCAGTCACAAATCCCACTAATAAGGACATAAACGGACAGATAAGTCACAAATGCACGTGTTCACACAATCGAAATCTCAGTACTCAAGCCACAAACAAAACCTAGCCTCAAGTCCTCCAGACTGGCCCAACATCACACACAGAAATCACATCTCGCACCTCCTCCAGGGAATCGCAAACTGTCGATACACAACAGATACCGAGCGCTCATGTGTGCACACGAATGTGTGGAAGGAATTCAAGGAATTACTCTTCAAGTTTAATCAATGTCGCACGATAAGAATTCAAGAATGTGGAATTTCCTAAAGGGTTCTGCAGCCTCTCGAAGATAAGTACAGACATCTCCGTACCGATCTGAAAGACCCTACTAAACCTGCTCATGACTCGTGAGACCTATGTAACCTAGTGCTCTGATACCAACTTGTCACGACCCAAAATCTGACCTGTCGTGATGGCGCCTATCGTGGTACAAGGCAAGCCTCAACTCAACATCTCAACATAGTAGAACTTTTAAATAAAGGCGAAAGCAGTTAATATTAAATAAAACCTTTAAGAATAGAATATAGCTCCAAAGTACAAAGAATCCATTCCCAAAACCCGGTGTCACTGAGTGCATGAGCATCTAAATGATAACAACATTCGACTGATAAAACATTGTCTGGAAATATAGAACAATACAACATGAAAGGAAAGGCGAGTCAAGGTCAGCGAACGCCATGCAACTACCTCAATAGCCTCATGAGTCTGACTCCTCAATTAGCAACCGCCGTGACCAGAAGTGTCTCGATCTGTACATGAGGTACAGGGGTAACGTGAGTACACCAACTCAGTAAGTAACAGAAATAAATAAGGAACTGAGAAGTAGTGATGAGCTATGCAAATATAGTTATCTCAATAACTTTCAAATAAGAGTAATCATACTTTCAATTTAATAGTTTAAGTCACATCAGTACATACTCAATAAACCAGATATCAAATTTAATGGAGCAGTAAATAATATCTTCTAATAATTTTCAAAACAGTGATATGACATTTGTGATGCAACAATAATGAAGTAAATGTATTTTCTAAGAATAACAGTCACTCTGTCCTCACATTCACTCCAACCTCACAATCACTCATTCCTCACATTCACTCATTCCTCCCAGTCGCTCAGCACTCGGCACTCGCACTCAGTAGGTACATGCGCTCACCGGGGGTGTATACAGACTCCGGAGGGGCTCCTTCAGCCCAAGCGCTATAACAAGCCACCTCGTGGCATAAATCACTCACGCCCTCGACCTCACTCAATCGTAAATCTCTCCAGTCTCTCGGGCTCTCAAAAAGAATCATATAAACAACCCAAACAGAGGTAATATCATGTATCAACAATGAACAGCAAGAGACGGAAGTAGATTCCAACCCCGATATCAAAAAGTCAACCCTCGATCAAGCTTTCAAAAAATCTTTTATTTTCCAACTTTTGCCAAAATGCGCCAAATTATCCTACAGACTTCCACATCCAAATCCGAACATGCGCCTAAGTCAAAAATCACCATACGAAGCTATTGGAATCATCAAAAATCTAATCCGAGGTCGTTTGCTCAAAAGTCAAATCTCCGATCAAACTTAAGAAATCTTTAGCCTTAGATTTCTAGATTCCGTTAATTGCCGATAATTTGGTCTAGGGACCTCCGAATTCGATTTCGGACATATGACCAAGTCCCAAATCATGATACGGAACTACCGGAATGGTCAAAACTTATATCCGTGTTCGTTTGCTCAAAATGTTGACCGAAGTCAATTCAGTTGAGTTTTAAAGCTCTAATTCACAATTTAATCCATTTTTCACAAAAAAAAACTTCCAAAAAATTATACGGACTGCGCACGCAAGTCGAGGAATTATTGATAATGATTTTCAAGGTCTTAAAATACTGAGATAATTATTTAATTTAAAGATGACATTTTGGGTCATCATACATATACAAGCAAAATGCGGTACATCTGGATACACTCTCGATACAAATTTAATGATACTCTCATTTCTATCTGAAATGATGCACATGTTTTCCCTGTTACTGTATGCTATCTTGAATTTCTCAAAGAACCACGTCCAAGCAGCATCGTTCTCTGAATCAAACACCATATGCTAGTGGCAATATATGACCTATAAAGACAATTGAATACATATTTTTAAAACATGTATTTCAATCTTTAAAATATTAACAGATTTTATTATAATTTAGGTACTCACCTGCACCATCCAACGTGCTTGCCAAAACGAATGTCCCGGTGTAGTAAGATTTTAGGTGACTTCCATCCACAACAACAATGGGTCTACAATGATCAAACCCCTTTATAAAGGCATACAAAGATATATACACGTATATGAATTCATTTTTGGGTGATTTTACCATTCTGATGTGGGAACCTGGATATGTCATATCCATTGTATATAAGTATCCTGGTAATTTTTTGTAAGAATCAGCCAGTTCACCTATCAAATAATTCATTGCCTTTTCTTTAGCCCTCCACGCCAACATGTAGCTAACATCTACACCTAAATCTGATTTCACGTCATCAATAATATCCTTTGGGGTGTATTACCTCTTATGATTAGTAAGCTTAGGCCTAATCATACCACCTATAAGGTTGCTACTTGTCTGCCGCTGCTCATACACCTTGTCCTTCAGCAGACATGTATGGTTATCAATGAATTCTCTCACTTTGAATAGTTCTGATTTGTTAATGCTTGAAGCNCTATTGTTATATGCAATATACTTAAAAAGGATAGTAGACAAAATACGAAAATAATTAGAGACACTGTAATGTAATTATACCAGTAAAATACATATGAATACATGTATTTAAGGACCATAAACAAACATATGTTAAACACATCAGTGATAATAAAATGAAAATCCACAAATACGCATAAATACATCAACGTTTAACTTACAGCTCGAACCAATAATACAAAAAAAATTTAAATACTCGCAAACCTGACAGCATTAGACCTATCAACCCGGAATTGAAACCTTTGAGATATAGCATAATTCTCTCAATGTAGCCTTATCCTTATATACTTGTCCAACAATAACCTCCCTTTGATTAGTTTTTGAAATTATCAAATCCTTGTTCAGTCCAAACACCTCAATTGCTTCTCCTGAATTGACAAGATCCAGAGCAAGCATATCATCTGTACCGGAATCATACCTTTGGCAAGATTCGTCTATTTGCACAATATCTCCTTCACTTAAAGTACTATAGGATACAAGTTCTTTTTCAATCGTTGTTATGCACAAAGGATACATCCCGAATTCTCTGTTCTCTTTTTTCAACTCTGCATACACCATGTAACCCATGTCATTGTGTATTTCCATTGGCGTGCTATTCCCTTCTACTTTGTATTGAATTTTAATGGACTTCGTGCTCAAATCTATGCCCAGTTGATTAGAAATTGAAGCAACCAAATCATTATACGACGCATACTCCTTTATCAGTATTCCCTCAATTGAAAAATCGACGTAAATTGCCCTCATCGTTCAACTTGCCAGAATGACGCAACAACACTGTTAAACTTGTCATATGTATAATGGAACTATACCGTATTTTGTATACAATTTGTATCAATCGTAATTTTCCGTGGTTGAATTGAGAACTGCGAACAGAGAAAAAGGAGAAGTGAATGGAAAAACTGTTGACCGATGTTGCTCTTGTTTTCGCTAATTTTTTGTTGAATCGTGAATTGAAGAATACAGATTAATGGGTAATAGTTTTTGTTCGTTGAGTTAAATTAGGATAATATCAAGTGATTTGATTTCCTTTCCGTTTTTAACTAGTTCAACCTTCCAGATTTTATGCAAATATGTTACTGTATTCACGATAAGGCCGCGTCAATACATTCAAATACATATCAACCTTAGCTGGAATTCCCTTTTTAACGCCTATTTTTACTATTATATTAATGAATACAATAGCTTAAATACATCAAATACATTGTATAACCACATAAAAGGTATCTATAACACGTAATATAGTAAAAGGTATCTATAAATGACTAATTAGACCTAAAAGATGATGTTTTATGAAAAAATTTCTTTAAAGAATGGGCAACCTTCTTACCCAAAAATGGGCCGACTTTTATTAGTATTGGCCACTTTAAAAGGGAATGGACCAGCTATTTGGGTATTTGAAGATTGGACTGCTTTAAAGATTTGGCTATTGCAACAACATTGGGTTAGCTTTTACTTGCATAGGAAAAATAGGACCAATAAATCACAATAAAGAAATGGACCAGCAGCCTAATTTGGTCTATCCAGAAAAGTAATTATTTAGTCCAATTATTACTTGGAAAATCAGATTCTTGAATCTAACTTCACGGCCCAATTTCATGAATTTATTACAGCCTATTGCCCATTAGTTGCGATCGAAAGAAACTAAAACTAACAATAAGCAAATAAGAGTTAAAAGCGTGAGTTTGAGCAAGAAAATTAAAGGCTAAACTACATTCAAAATCTACATGCTATCAACAAACTAATTAACCTTTAACATTTCAAAATAAAGTATCCATAATTATGTCAAAAACAATGTATAACAGATATACTAACTGAATATGGTTTCAACCACCCGTGTAGAGAAAAATGATTGATTTAACTAATTTCTAACATATGTACATGCTTAACACAAATGTAACATTCATTCTTGAGCAAAATTGAATATGAGAATTCTCCAGGAGTCCAAACCAAATTCCAAGCTTCTTTATTACTGTAAAATACCTACAGTACAAGGTCAAAAAGTTACCTGATTAGCAGCGAAACAAAGAAACAGTTATTCGAACTTGGAATTCAACTATTGGGAAACCCAGTAGAAGCAGCAGACTTTCGAAAGAGAAAGAACTTAGCAAAAAGCTTTAAGTATTCCCCTATTATTCTGAAGGATTTTATACTTAAAGATGCTACTCAACTAGCTCTCCAGTTTCAGCTTCCTCTATGCATTCAGATGCTGATTTTTCCTCTCTAAGATGTTTTCAAAGACCCATTGAATAATGTGTGTAAAAAATATCTTTTTTAGAGTCCAAGATCTTTTTTAAATGAGAAAAGAGCTCCTCTTTTTATAGGGGAGGAAAGGCATTGAGACAGATTTTGTTTGACCAAAAATTTGTCCAAAATGATAGATTTTTGACCAAAAATATATCCAAAACCAAAATTTTGGTCAATGAACAGTTTTTCTTACTAATTGTGGACAGAATTTTAGAGTATTGTACTCCAAAACAGTCAGTAAAAGCAACCAAACCAAGAACCCTACACTCAAGTACCCCCTTGCTACCCTTCCCCTTTATCTTCAATTCATTCATTCAGCAGAAATAGATCTCAAGCCAGACTTAGATTGGCCAAATCTAGTAGTAAAAGGGGAGAACTTTACCAACAAACCAAAACTCAAACAATTAAGTTAAACCAAACAAAAGCATACCATATATATATATATATATATTAAAAACTCTTTAATTTGATGTTAAATTTGACCACAAAACATGTGCGCAGGGGCGTACACAGAACTTTCAGTAAGCGGTGTCACAATTAATTGGTAGCCGATAACCCAAAGGAGTTCACGGAGATGACGAGATTGAGAAGTTGAGTACAGTAATAGCAAGCTAGCACAAATAAATATTGCAAATTTATGAAGTAATTATTCTGAATTGAGCGTTTAAAAGGTGTTAAATAAAATTAAACAAAAGATCATGTATGCAGGAATCGAACCCTGAACCTTTACTACCTTAACCAAAGGCTTAACCACTAAACTAACACTGAAATATTTGTCAAGTGGTGTCACTTTAGATAATATGTACAAATTTCCTATTCGCATGTCATTTACAGCAACAGTTTTAATCAAAATTTCTGACGATGCGGTGTCACGTGACACCATTTCGATGTACGTACATACGCCCTTGCAATGCGTCTCAAACAAAATGATCCTAATTGAGTGACGACAATAAAATTTAACAACTGAGGAATCTGACGAGTGACAAACTATCTTAGTTAAATGTCTAACTATATCAACAGACCCTATTTAACATGAATTAACCATAGTGAACAATAATCACATGAGAAGCAACTTTAAACCTTCAATTTAACTAAAATGACCAGCGAGTTTGTTGAAAAATGCTAAAACTTCAAACACCACTAGCAGAACTTATGAGATAGGAATCCGAACAACAAAATAGTTTGAGATCAACGAGCGACGACTAATCATTACTAACTCTAAACTAACTAACGACTAACTAAAGATAAATAAAACACATGATCAAACAAAGATCAAAAAATTTAGACCTAAACAAACTACAATGAAACAGAAAGAAAAAGAAAGGGGACATAAGAGATTAGGGTGTACCTGAAACTAAAGTGTCCGAAATAGTGGTGGTGCGACAGTGGTGGTGATTCTGGCAGCGATAGATGAAGTTTTGATGTCGGACATGCTCTTCTTATTGCTAGCCCGTCACTATCAACTCCAATCAAACTGAAGTCGAATAACGAACTCAGAAACAAGAAGAGCTTGTTCGAGCCAAAGTAGAAGCGGCCAGCAACCCGCCGGAATTGAGCCACCGGAGTTTCGACTTTGAACCAAGAAAGAACGGTAGACTAGGGGGAGACCTACACACTCATGTAGGTATTAAGTGGTGGTGAGGTCTCAAACTTGAAAAATCTAAGGAAAAATAGGCGGCTAGGGTTTCAAGTTTTCGAAGATTTGTGATGTTTGAGAAGGATTTAAAGGATTTGGGGTTTGGATTCATGAAGAGGAGGTTGATATGAATAGTGGGTGAAATTTTGGTGGTGTTTGGAGCACCACCAGCAGTGGCGCACGGTGGTGGCAGTGGAGGAAGGCGGCGGCGGCTTGAGAAAAGAGAGAGAGGGGTCTCTAGGGTTTGGGTCCTTATATAAATGGCAAGTAATCAGATTTTAAAAGGATTTTATACCTCAAAGGGGAACAAAGGAGGGACATTAGATCAAAGATCATTGAAGGCTGAGATTTGATCTTGAATACTTAATCAAAATTACGTAGTTTCAAGACAAAACTAAGTCGTTTTGTAGCTCTTTCTTGGCCAACCACATAATGGACCGGGTATGGCCGAAATGGGCTCAAATTTTGGGCCAATTTTTGCTCAATTTTAATTAAAATACACTAGTCCAATCCCTACCCCATTTATCAAACCATTAATCAACTNGATTTATGATGTATTATTCAGTTAGTTTGGGTTGTATCTAGAGGCTCTTGACTTGTGACATCGGATTTTTGGGTTGTGTTGGTATATTTTGTTCTATTTTTCGCACATTTCAGTTGATTTATATATCTCATATGAGAATTCGAGACTTAATCAGTTTTAGAAAATAGTTTTATAAAAAATATTCAATGTGGTTACTTGTTGGGTTGGCTTGCCTAGTACTGTGAGAGGCGCCATCACGACCGGGGTATTTGGGGTCGTGACAAGTATGTATTAGAGCCTAGGTTACATAGGTCTCGCGAGTCATGAGCTGGTTTAGTAGAGTCTCGCGGATCGGTACAGAGACATCTGTATTTATCCTCGGGAGGCTGCAAACCTTTAGGAAAAACTTCTCATTCTTGAATTCCTGTCGTGCGAATATGTTGATTCTTGTACTAAACTTCTGTTATTCTATTCTCTCATAGATGGTGAGGACACGTGCTACCGTTCAGGATGGACCACCACCAGTACCACCAACTGGGGCCACTAGTGGCCGAGGACGCGGTCGAGGCCGTGGTAAGGGCAGGGGTGTAGCCCGCACAGCAGCTAGGGCAGCATCTGTAGATCCACCAGCTGCCTCAGTTCAGGATCAGGTCCTAGCTGCGGATACTCCAGCAGCACCAGCTCAGGCACCGACTGTGCCTATTGTAATTCCAGGCCTTCGGGAGGCTTTAGCTCAGATTCTATCGGTATGCATTGGCCTGGCTCAGGCGGTCTCAGTTGCTACAGCCGCAGCTACTTCTCAGGACAAGGGAGGTACTCAGACTCCTGTTGCTTGCACACATGAGCAGGTTGTGTAGGGACTTCAAACACCAGGGGCACCTCCAGCCCAGCCGGTCGTACCAACTCAGGAGTATGTGGTACCAGTTATGCCTGACGACGAGCAGCGTCGATTGGAGAGATTTGGTAGACTTCATCCTCCGACTTTCAGTGGTACAGAGGGCAAGGAAGCCCAGGGTTTCTTGGACAAGTGTCAAAGTATTCTTCATACAACGGGTATTCTGGAGACTAGTGGTGTTGCATTCACTACTTTTCAGTTTTCTAGAGCTGCCTTTACTTGGTGGGAGGCTTATGAGAGGCGTGTGCCTGTTGATATAGCGCCCCTTACCGGTAGCGGTTGTCACACCTCCTTTTTCCGCACCCGCGAGGGTGCAAGGGAGTTTTTCCAATTAAAGG